TGTCTTCCTCGGCTTCCCCCCTGACGCTCCAGGGTGGCAGTTCTACCACCCCTCCTCTCGTCGTGTTCTGTCCTCCCAGGACGTCACGTTCGACGAGTCAGTCCCCTTCTACCGCCTCTTCCCCTACCGCACTCCTTCCCTCCCCCCGCCACCGCACTTCCTTGTGCCAGGTCCCCCCCCGGTAGACCCCCTTCCCCCTCAGGGTCCTGCCCCTTCAGGTGTGTCCCAGGTAGACGCAGTCGAGCCGGTCGAGGTTGCTGGTGACTCTGGTCCTGCTGCGGGTGCTGAGCCTGGGGGTGCTGAGTCTGGGGGTGCTGAGCCTGGGGGTACTGCGACTGGGGGTGCTGAGCCTGGGGGTGCGGAGTCTGGGAGTGCTGAGCCTGGGGGTGCTGCAACTGGGGGTGCTGAGCCTGGGGGTGCGGAGTCTGGGGGTGCTGAGCCGTGGGGTACTGCTACTGGGGGTGCTGAGCCAGGGGGTGCTGCGTCTGGAGGTGCTGAGCCTGGAGCTGCGGAGCCTGCGGCCACTGGACCTCCCCTTGCTGCATCTGGCGGTGCGGGACCTGGCGGTTCTCCGGGTGCTTCGCCTCGGCGGGAGCCCCTCTCTCCACAGGAGCTGCGCGAGTGGTTTGCCCGGCGCTGGAGGCGTGCTGCTGGAGCTGGAGGTTCTTCGGCTGCTGAGGGTGCTGGTGCCGCGGGTCCCGGAGGTGCTGGAGCTGGAGCTGCTGAGGGCGTTGGCGCTGAGGCTACTGCTGTCGGTCCTGGAGGCGGTCCTGCTGGGGGTGCTACTGGTGCTGCTGGAGGTCCTGGAGCTGGAGGTGCTGCTGGCGCTGGTGCTCCCGCTGGGGGTACTGGTGCTGTCCCTGCTGTGTCTGGAGTCGCCGCGCGGCCTAGACCGTACTTCGTTCCGCTCCTTCAGCAGGTTCTTGGTCTCCCGCCTTCTACTGGTCCTCCTCCTCCCTTAGAGTGTCCACAGCCTGTCCTGTCACAGTTACAGTTACAGCCGGCCTCCCCACTGCCCGCTCCTTCTCCCTACACTGGTCCTAATGGAGGTCTTGCTGAGCGTCGTGAGCCTGCGTCTCGCCCTGCGTCGCCTGTCCGTGCTGCTCGCACTAGTGGTCGTGGTTCGCGTCAGCGTCCTCCTCCTGTCCCTGGCACGCACCGGATGTCTCTGCGTCCGTCCACTGCTCCTCTGCGTGCCCCTTTGCCTTCTCCTCCTGAGTCCTCTCTTCCTGCTCTTCCTGACCCGGAGTCGGACTCTCTTCGTGCTGCCAGTCCTGCTGTCACACGTCTCCTTGCTACTGTCGTCACTGACCCCTCTTTTGAGTCCACTGCTGCGTCTGCACTTGTTGCTGAGCTCGTCGACTTTGCTGCTCGCTGTCGTCTAGACTACGCTGCCGGTCTTGTTGCTGAGTCTGCGTCTGTCTGTCCTCCGTCCGTCGGGGGTGAGTGTGCTCTTGGCACGGACGTCCTTGAGGACAGGCAGGAGGAGTTCCGGTGTCTGGCTGCTGCTTCACCTCATCTCGCGTCCGTACTACTTGCCCCTGAGGGAGACCCGGATGCACTAGACATCCCGACTCCGCGCTCTTACGCGGAGGCCGTAGAGGGTCCCTACTCCTCTCAGTGGCAGGTAGCTATGGATGCAGAGATGGCGTCCTGGAAGTCCACAGGCACCTACGTTGACGCGGTTCCCCCTCCTGGGGCGAACATCGTCAGTGGCATGTGGATCTTCAGGGTGAAGCGGCCGCCGGGCTCTCCACCTGTCTTCAAGGCGCGGTACGTCGCTCGTGGCTTCAGTCAGCGGCAGGGAGTTGACTACTTTCAGACCTTCTCTCCCACCCCGAAGATGACCACTCTTCGGGTTCTGCTGCACATAGCCGCTCAGCGCGACTACGAGCTCCACTCTCTTGACTTCAGCACTGCTTTCTTGCAGGGTAGCCTGCACGAGGAGATCTGGCTGCGCCGTCCACCTGGCTTCACTGGGACTTTCCCTACTGGCACCCAGTGGAGCCTCCGACGGCCAGTCTACGGTCTCCGCCAGGCACCGCGTGAGTGGCACGACACACTGAGGACTACGCTTGCGGCTCTTGGGTTTGCTCCCTCTACTGCTGACCCGTCGTTGTTTCTGCGCACCGACACTTCTTTGCCGCCGTTCTACGTCCTCGTGTACGTCGACGACTTGGTCTTTGCCACAGCTGACACTGCTGGACTAGCCTACGTGAAGTCCGAGCTGCAGAAGAGACACACGTGCACAGACCTGGGTGAACTGCGCAGCTACCTTGGCTTGCAGATCACTCGGGACAGAGCACGCCGCACCATTACCTTGACTCAGTCACACATGGTGCAGCAGGTCCTTCAGCGCTTCGGCTTCACGTACTCCTCGCCTCAGGCCACTCCTCTGTCTACTCGCCACTCGCTCTCAGCTCTGCCTTCGGATGAGTCCGTAGAGTCGAGTGGCCCGTACCCAGAGCTTGTTGGCTGCCTCATGTACCTGATGACCTGCACACGACCTGACCTTGCATACCCTCTTAGCATTCTTGCACGCTATGTTGCTCCTGGGAGACACCGACCAGAGCACATGGCTGCAGCTAAGAGGGTGTTGCGCTACTTGTGCAGTACGTCGGGCATGGGGCTAGTGCTTGGAGGGCGGAGTCCAGTGGTCCTCACTGGGCACGCGGACGCTTCTTGGGCAGACGACCAGGCTACACAGCGGTCGTCGCAGGGTTACACCTTCAGTCTTGGTTCCGGCTCTGTCTCGTGGCGGGCTACTCGCTCGTCCTCTGTTCTCAGCTCCAGTTGTGAGGCTGAGATCTACGCCGGGGCCATGGCTGCACAGGAGCTTCGCTGGCTCACCTACCTGCTGACTGGCCTTGGAGAGCCGCCTCGTTCTCCTCCAGTGCTGTACGTAGACAACAAGGCCATGCTGGCCTTGTGTCGAGAGCAGCGCTTGGAGCACAGAACGAAGCACATTGCTCTCCGTTACTTTCTTGCTCGTGAGCTGCAGCAGCGTGGTCAGTTGCGACTTGCTTACGTGGCCTCTGAGGCCAATACTGCTGATGTGTTCACCAAGGCACTTGCACCTTGTGACCATCAGCGCTTCTGCACCCAGCTGGGTCTTGTACCTGTCTTGCCTCACTTGCTCTCTTCTTGACCTTGCTTGTACTGTTACATATATATACCTGCTCTTGCTTGTCTAGGTCTATATATATATGTGTACTCCTGCATGTGAACTGGCCTTGTGGCCTTGTCGTTGTGCTCGGACTGTGTGGTGACTTTGTGATCCACCCTGAGCTTGCTCTGCTTTGCTTGACTAGTCTTGTGACCCCTTGTTCTCCCCCACTTTGCCTATGGGGGTGTGTCAGAACATTATATAGCTTATGCTGTTGTGTAGGCTATAGTGGGGTATCCCATAGGGGGTACAACCCAATTAGGGTTTCCTATTTGTACTCACTTCATTTCATAGTTCATTCATTCTCGTTCTCATTCTCACAGCACATCGCCCTGCGATATTTCTTCGTGAAGGACGAGATCGAGAAGGGGAGACTCGAACTGTCCGACTGCCCCACTTCTGAGATGGCAGCTGACTACTTGACCAAGAAGCTCGGAAAGCAGAAGTTCGAGTACTGCATGCTGCTGACTGGACAAAGCCACGTCACCAGCAACGACACTCCAGAAGCGAAGGGGAGTGTTGGAAACAAGTAATTTAAGCGCTTCTGTTGTGTGTCGAAACACCAAGTCGTAAACGAAGCAAAGCACAACGAAGCACCGGCGAGTCAACCTTTGGAGGTTGAGAAGAAAAACAACTGCTGGAGGTTACGCGAAAGTCAAAGGTCAGCGACCTTTGACCTGACAAATATAGCGCGACAGCAAGGACAAAGAACTGACTCGTTATTGAGCAGTTACCCGAGTCGACACTGTATCGAACCGCAACAACAGCAGTAAAACGATTATTAGCTATATCTCTTCGTATTCCTTGTATTTCTATAAAACCTTGTATCTCCGTGTTTTAATTAATCTACTTTGCCCTCACAAACCAGCGCAAGGTGGTACAATACTTCTTATTAAAACGCTTCCGCAACTACAACATTCCTACCCAGAGTTTAGCCTTGCAAAAATCCTAAGGGCTTTTTCACAGCCCAACAGAGCTAGGGTACCATAAATTCCTGGCCCTCTGCCAGACTTCTACACAGAACCGAATGGATAGTTGACCCCCCCCCCTCTCCCCCCTCTTCCCCCTTTCTTCCCCCCATCAGTAATCTACATGACCAATATAATAACATCCTTAACAAATGTTTGGATTGAGCAGGCGATCTCTCTAGCAATGATTGGAACTCTGTGCTTACGCCTGCTCCTGGTGGTACAAACAAGAATGCAGTGTAGTTTAGTGAGAAAAGGGGATTAACTGGAGAACAGTATGACAAAATTTGTACGAGATAGTGAGGGAGATGGGACAGGAGCACAAATCAAGAGGATGATCAAGTAGCACAGAAAAAACAACTGGAAACATGAGAGGGCAGAAGGAAGAGAGCAAGATACGCAAATGGTTTGCTAGGGGGGGAACAAGGGCGAGAAGTGCAGAGAGGAGAGCAAGCGTTAACACATGTCACAACCTGCCTAATGTCACGCAGTGAGAGGCGAGAATGGGAAGGTGTGGGGGAGGGCATGAGTGGAATGAACAGTAGGGAAAGGGGGGGGGGAGTGAGGGAATAGGGCACATCAGAAAGTGGGGAGAAGAGAGTGCAAGAGGAGGCAAGAGAGGGAGAGAATAGTCACTTGGCATTGATAAAGGGCGTGATGAAAGGGACTGAGCCGATGGCAGAAGCACGGGAGTTATGATAGGGAAGTTAGTGAAACGAGAGAGCATGTGAGGATGTACGGGAAGGGGATGGAGAGGGAGAGAAGAGCTACCTACCATTGACCAAGTGCGTGATGAAGGGGCGTCTTTTGAGTCGACTCAAAAGTCACCTAGCTACCTACCATTGACCAAGGGCGTGATGAAGGGACTAAGCGCATGGCAGGAGCACGGGAGGAACCGGGGGAGGAGGAAAATCGCTTGTGTGCAGCAGATAGAAGTGTTGATCGGCGCTCATGACTCGGGATTCTGCTGCTGCTGCTGCTGCTGCGGAAGAGGAGTGATTGTGAGGGGAGAGGGGATTGGACTAGGAGAATGTAAGAATGTGAGATTTCATGAGTGATTGACAAGGTAGTTGATCCCCTGAGACATATAGTACAGCTGGGGGGCATGAATGGTATGAGTTGAGACAGAGGAATGTGAGGGGAGAGGGGATTGGACTAGGAGAATGTAAGAATGTGAGATGTCATGAGTGATTGACAAGGTAGTTGACCCCGGAAAGAACACAGATGAGTTGGGATGAATGAGATGAGTTGGGGTGAATGAGATGAGTTGGGGTGAATGAGATGAGTTGGGGTGAATGAGATGAGTTGGGGTGAATGAGATGAGTTGGGGTGAATGGGATGAGTTGGGGTGAATGGGATGAGTTGGGGTGAATGAGATGAGTTGGGGTGAATGAGATGAGTTGGGGTGAATGAGATGAGTTGGGGTGAATGGGATGAGTTGGTGTGAATGGGATGAGTTGTGGTGAATGGGATGAGTTGGGGTGAATGAGATGAGTTGGGGTGAATGAGATGAGTTGGGGTGAATGGGATGAGTTGGGGTGAATGGGATGAGTTGTGGTGAATGGGATGAGTTGGGGTGAATGAGATGAGTTGGGGTGAATGAGATGAGTTGGGGTGAATGAGATGAGTTGGGGTGAATGGGATGAGTTGGGGTGAATGAGATGAGTTGGGGTGAATGAGATGAGTTGGGGTGAATGAGATGAGTTGGGGTGAATGGGATGATTTGGGGTGAACGAGATGAATTGAGGTGAATGAGATGAGTTGGGGTGAATGAGATGAGTTGGGGTGAATGAGATGAGTTGGGGTGAATGAGATGAGTTGGGGTGAATGGGATGAGTTGGGGTGAATGGGATGAGTTGGGGTGAATGGGATGAGTTGGGGTGAATGAGATGAGTTGGGGTGAATGAGATGAGTTGGGGTGAATGGGATGATTTGGGGTGAATGGGATGAGTTGGGGTGAATGGGATGAGTTGGGGTGAATGGGATGATTTGGGGTGAACGAGATGAATTGAGGTGAATGAGATGAGTTGGGGTGAATGAGATGAGTTCTAAGGACAAGGATAGAACAAGGATTGGCATTAATATCAGTTCGTTCTAAGAGTACTTACAGTAGAAGTGTCTATGTTGATGGTGCTTGTATTGAGCATGCTCGTATTGAATCTGCTTGTATCGAGGCCACTGGTTGCCTCCAGAAGAGCAATAACTGCATCCCTTAGCTGATCGTTCTCCTGATGAGCAGAGAAACATGCAAACATGCATTTCAAAGAACAAAAACCTCTCATTGTAACGGGGTGACTTTTGAGTTGACTCAAAAGTCAACAGGATGCACATGCTCAGAAGTCACCTAAGAACAAAAACCTCTCATTGAGAGCTAACATACCGCACAAGCAGAAGAGCAAATACCGCACTCGTGCATTTGATGTACATATGCCCACATGCAGTTTTTGAACATATGTACACATGCATACACATTCATTTCTTTAAGGCATATGCACACGTGCGCACATAAAACACAAAAACTCCTATATCCTTTCAAAACGCATGCATCTATGCAAACATGTGATCTGTTGTAAACCCACATGCATGCGTTTATGAAAATATGCACACACAAGGGAACATAGATATACACAATATGAGATATAAATCATGCATACAGTGTGCAGATATGAGAAAACATAATTACGAACAGGCAAATGTGGGTAGATATGCTTACGAGGTGACATTTCAGTTGACTCAAAAGTCAACAGGCAAATGTGGGTAGATATGCACATGCATACACCAATCCATTGACCCACACCTGTCTCCTTGTCCCGTTTTGGACACATTGCAGCGTTGACCCTCACCTGCAGCGTTGACCCTCACATGCAGCGTTGACCCTCACCTGCAGCGTTGACCCTCACCTGCAGCGTTGACCCTCACATGCAGCGTTGACCCTCACCTGCAGCGTTGACCCTCACCTGCAGCGTTGACCCCCACCTGCAGCGTTGACTCTCACCTGCAGCGTTGACTCTCACCTGCAGCGTTGACCCTCACCTGCAGCGTTGACCCTCACATGCAGCGTTGACCCTCACCTGCAGCGTTGACTCTCACCTGCAGCGTTGACCCTCACCTGCAGCGTTGACCCTCACCTGCAGCGTTGACCCTCACCTGCAGCGTTGACCCTCACCTGCAGCGTTGACCCTCACCTTCGCTTCACATTCCTCCTCCAGGCCATGATCATCATGTGAATAAGAAGCACTGTATGGCATGATCGGACCGTGTTCCCAATCACTCACCTGCTGTACTGCTGCTATCCTCGATTCCAGCTGCTCCTTCTCCCCTCTCCTTCGCCTCACATTGCTCCTCTAAGCTCTGATGATAGTGCGTAGAATGATAACCATGGCATGGCATCTGCTTCCTCACCTGCTGCACTGCAGCAATCCTTCCTTCCAGCTGCTCGTTCTCCCTCTCCTTCGCCTCACACTCCTCCTTCAGACCCTGGTGTTCATGTAGCATGATGTGCTGTTGTGTTGTTTCCCCTCACTCACCTGCTGTACTGCCGCTATCCTTCCTTCCAGCTGCTCGTTCTCCCTCTCCTTCGCCTCACACTCCTCCTTTAGGCACTGATGATCACGGATTGAAGAAGTGACGTGGCATGGCATCGCATGGCATGGAATCGCATGGCATGGCATGGCATCGCATGGCATGGGATATTACAGGAAGAGAATGAGGAAAGATAGAAGGAAATATGGATGATTGAGGCATGAATAAAGTGCCCGAATTGGAGTGAATTTCAGATAGAGCCTGTCATAGTGACACAAGTACGAAACCAATGCCACAACATGTTTGCGTTACTTCTGAGAATTCTCTCATGTTACTTCTGAGAATTCTCTCATGTTACTTCTGAGAATTCTCTCATGTTACTTCTGAGAATTCTCTCATGTTACTTCTGTGAAATGTGAGACCAACGTTTGAGGCGCCTCAAAAGTCATGTCGGTGTTTTTTCTGAGAATTCTCTCATCTCATGTTACTTTTGTCAAAAGTGAGACCAACTTAGTGACACACGCACGAAGCTCATGCCAGGACATGAATGCATGCATGCTTCTGTCGCCATAATCAGGCACATATCACCATTGTGCGTGCCTAATTCACCACTCACATACCTCCATGCGTCGTCGTTTTCGCTCCCTTGCTTGCTGCGCATTCACCCTGTTCCTCAGTAACCTGCTCGTCAAGAATCACCAATTAGAAGAAACACACGCATGAAGATCAGGATAGCAGACTCATAAACAAACACATACTCAGCTGCATTCACCCTGTTCCTCAGTAACCTGCTCGTCAAGAATCACCAATTAGAAGAAACACACGCATGAAGATCAGGATAGCAGACTCATAAACAAACACATACTCAGCTGCATTCATCCTGTTCCTCAGTAACCTACTCGCCAATATGAGTAAAACAACCCCACAAAAACAAGCACACATGAGCAATTGACCAATATTACAGGTTCATTCAAAAGCATTCAGTCGCTTCCTTCCCCTCCCTTGCTTTCTGCGCATTAACCCTGTTTGAAGAAACCTGTTCGACATCTCGAGTTTTGAGTCGACTCAAAACTCGACTTATCACACTCAGCAACCTGTTCAGCATATCGCCAACCACACAGAACCACACGCACATGAATGGGCAGGAAAGAGGACAGAGAAGAGAGGCGAGAGGAAATAGACAGAGGAGAGAGGCGAGAGGAAATAGACAGAGGAGAGAGGCGAGAGGAAATAGACAGAGGAGAGAGGCGAGAGGAAATAGACAGAGGAGAGAGGCGAGAGGAAATAGACAGAGGAGAGAGGCGAGAGGAAATAGACAGAGGAGAGAGGCGAGAGGACATAGACAGAGGAGAGAGGCGAGAGGAAATAGACAGAGGAGAGAGGCGAGAGGAAATAGACAGAGGAGAGAGGCGAGAGGAAATAGACAGAGGAGAGAGGCGAGAGGAAATAGACAGAGGAGAGAGGCGAGAGGAAATAGACAGAGGAGAGAGGCGAGAGGAAATAGACAGAGGAGAGAGGATAGTGGATAGAAATACGAGAAGCGAAAGCTCTCACCTCCGGTTTCGTCGACAGTCAGAAGATGCACCTTTGCCCGCCTCAATGCTACTTCTGCCCACCTCAATGCTACTTCTGCCCACCTCGATGGCACCTCTGCCCACCTCAGAGGCACTTTCATTCCCCCCTCGCACCACCACCCCACCTTCATCACCCCCTCGTTCCACCAACCCCTTTTCCTCCCCTCCTTCCTCTCCCATTTCCGCCACCAACCCCCCTCCCACCGCTCCTTCCTTCCCCCCTTCCCCCACCAACCCCCCTTGCGCCCCTCCTGCTTTCCCCCCGCCCACCACCACCCCCTCTTCCTCTCCTCCTTCCACCACCAACCCCCCTTCTCCCCCTGCTTTCTCCCCACCTTCCTCCCCCAAAGCCGCATGCACCTGCCCTAGCACAGCCACTGCTCCTGCCACTGCCACGTGACTGGCGCTAATTGGCTCCCCTGCCGCACCAGCCACGTGGCTAGCGCTGATTGGCTGCCCTGGCCCCACAGCCAAGTGACTGCCGCTGCTGACGCTGGTATTAGACCCGATGGAAGGCGTGAGGCGCCTATAACGAGGATATGACTGCTTCCTATCCTTGGGGCAGCTAAAACCTCTCATAACCTGCTCAGAACTCCCAGGGGAAATCATCGGGTCTGCTGGTAGGATCGACGGTGCAGGTAAAATTAGCCGAGGGGACAGAGCTGGCCGGAGTGGGAGAATCGGTTGCAGGGAGAGCGGCGGTCGTGTTGCGGATAAGGTAAGATTCATGGGTCGATCTTGGCCGTTAGATCCCGACGCTGACGTCCTTGATGGCCTCGGGATTACCTGCGTTTTGTTTATCTTCTTGCCCAGATTCCCTGCCTCTTCCAGTCTGCCGCGTAGGCCCGCCGCAAACCTTGCTGCCCCTCCATTTCCTGCCTCTCCAGTCGTAGCATTTCTCCGACTTTCATCTGAAGGGATCACTTCACTTCCTAAGGACCAGCCAGGAGCAACCGGGTAGCACACTGACCCCCTTTTCTCAGATTCCCTTTCTTGAGTCGATCCCTTTTCTTGCACAGGTCCCATTGCTTGTATGGATCTCGTTTCTTGCAAGAAAATCCTGCTTTTCTGCGAAAGTGTTGCTCCTTTCCCCCGTCCTCCTCCCCCTCCTCCTCCTCCTCCTCCTCCTCCTCCTCCTCCTCCTCCTCCTCCTCCTCCTCCTCCTCCTCCACCTCCTCTTCCTGGTAACCCTCCCATTGGTAACCACCCCCCTGGTAGCCCTCCCACAGGTATCACTCCTGCTGGTAAACCCCCTGCTGTTAACCTTCCTTCAGATAACCCTCCTGTTGGTAACCCTCTCGCTGATAATCCTCCTGCTGGTAACCCTCCTGCTGGTAACCCTCCTGCAGGTAACCCTCTCCCTGAAAGCTCTGCTGCTGGTAACCCTCCTGTTACTGCTCCTCCTGCTGGTAACTCTCCCGCTGGTAACCCTCCTGCTCGTGACCCCCCTGCTGGTAACCCTCCTGTTTGTAACCCTCCTGCTGGTAACTTTCTTGCTGATAACCCTCCTGATGGTAATCCTCTTGCCGGTAATGGTAACCCTCCTGTTGAAAGCCCTCCCACTGGTAACCCTGCTTCTGGTAACAGTTCTGCTGGCAACCCTCCTGCTGGTAACCCTCCTGCTGCCAGCCCTCCTGCTGGTAACCCTCGTTCTGGTGATGTTCCTGCTTGTAAAACTCCTGCTGCCAACCCTCCTGCTGCCAACCCTCCTGCTCGCAACTGTTGACCTGGTAACAGCCCCCTTGGGAACGCTCTGCCTCGTAACAACTCTTCTAACCCACCCTGTAACAGCCCACCCTGTAACAATTCACTCGGTAACAACCTACCTTGTGACAAACCACCTTGTAACAACCCACTTTGTGACAATCCACCTCGTAATGAATCACCTTGTAATAATGAACTACCTTGTAATAATGAACCACCTTGTAATAATGATGACCCAGCTTGTAATAACCCACTCTGTAACAAGCTACATTGTAACAACTGCCCTGTAACATGCACCGACTGAGCGAGTGGTGGGGTCAGTACAGATTGTCCAGAGGGAAATGGAACTGTACCAATCGGAGTTCTGGCTGTTGGAAAACTGGTCAAAGGTGGAAGCTGATTGGCTGTCGCACTGAAGGGTGAGTTTGAAGGGGGATGTGACTGTAGTGAAGTTGGCAGAATGCCACGAGGTTGTGATTGTATCGTGGCTATTCGTGAGTCTAAGACGGGCCTTGCCTGGCTGTACTGATGCTGGAGAGATGCAGCGGCTGAATGCCCTGTGTCAGAGGAGGGTAGGAGAGGGAAGAGACGATCAAGAGGAGTTGATGAAGTCTAACATTGCCAAAATTAAAACTGCTACGCGAGGGAACATAAAGATTTCCTGATAAACAGGTAAACAGACATAAAACAACTTGTAACTTAACAGGCGGAAAAAAAACGTAAAACATAAGACCACTAGGTATTGTGGAGTTGCAAAAAAAAGGAAAAAATCACCTGTCGGAGAAACAATAGATGCACTTATGTGTCGGTGGTCATTCGTCGGTAATTGGGCAGGCGTCTCGCTTGCTATATGACCCATTAACATCTCTGTATGAGCCACTATCGTATTGCCATGTCTGAAAGGGACGAAAGCAAGTAAGAAAATGTTTTTGGAATATGAAGTAGATTAACACGAGTCAATAATAATCCGATTTTTTATCACGCACATGCCCCTCTATGATTCCAAAACAACAGCCACTTCGTATTTACCATACCTCGAGATGGAGCATTTGCAATCCTATCTGATACATTTTTAAAAGCGTATAACGGACCGTACCTTGAGACGGGAACGCGTTGCTGTGATTCCTCCGCAAACCTTCCACAGCTGGCTAGGGTTTCAAAAGCCTCCGCATACTGCCTCGTGGAAGCAACTTCTCTCCTAAAAACCCCCTCATTTCTCGTTTCACGCTGCTGTAGCTGCTGCTTCTGCTCCAAATTCTCTCGTTCGTGCAACTGGAGCTGTTCGTGTCGCCGCGGCTGCGCTTGTCCAGTTAGTACTAGTCCTAGTAACTGCTGCTGTTGCGCCGCTGCCTGAAATTCCTGTCCCGTTGGTCGCTGTTGCGGTGCCTGAAATCTCTCCGCGGGTGGACCTTGGGGTTGCCGGGGCGCTGACTGCCTCGTCACCTGATTTGTCTCGAACCCTGCGGCTCCCGTCTGGATAGTTGGCGATGAAGCCGTTAGGGTGGTCCTAAGACCAAGCGCCGCGGTGTGATCCGCTTCGTCGCTGCGTATCGTGGTAGGCGCGGCGAGATCCCTTCCGCCGCCGCGGCTGCTGAGGCTGTCTCGCTCGGCAGCGGCGGCGGCGGCGGCGGCGGCGGCGGAGGCGTCGAGTCGCATGCGGTTTGCATGTCGCTGCAGCAGAATGGTCGCTAGAAGACTGTCGTTGCTGCGATTGCGACTTCGATTCTCACCCTGACCTCGATTCTGGTTTCGAGTCTGATTTTTGTTACTCTTGCTCGGACTCTGCTTCAGGCTCGAATTCTCGTTCAGGCTTGGACTCTGGTCTAGGCTCGAACTCTGATCTAGGCTTGAAGCTAGGCTCGGACCCTGGTTCGGACTCGATCCCTGGCTCAGGCTCGGACTCCCACTGGCGGTCGGAGGGAGGCGGCTCATTTCTCTACCAGAGGAGCTAAATCGGTTGACGCGCCGTCTGCCGTGGTAGTCTTATAAACTAAGTTAGTGCTGCGCGACGCTCACGACGCAGCCCTTATCAAGTCCGTCTAAGGCTCTGCTCCTACTAGCGCCCCGAGTCGTGAAATGTTCTGTTAGACTTCGCCGCAGAAACTGACGGGTGGAGAGCGAAACTGACGCCTTCTACGCTGCAAATCTTGCACTGGTTTGCGTAGTCGTACCACTAATAATTTTCGAGCCCGCTGCGCGCCGCTGCTGCTCAGCCGCGCCGCCTCGGACCGCCGCCACTGATTAGGAGTGTCGTTGTGTCGGAGGTTTGCTGTTTACGGTCGCTCCTTACTACACTTCGAGTGTACGGTCCTAGGGACAGAGGCGATTGGCGCGGCTTGAAGGGTTTTTCCTAGTCTTTCTAGGTCTTCAACAACAGGACGATGCCTATCTTATCGTCAGCTGATCATCGATTGCGCAGCACTTGTACCGTTGCTAAGGTAAACTATGCGACTGCTTCTCCTTGTCATGGCGCTGAAGCCTCGCGCAGCACATGGTGAGTTTTGCACACCTCAAGTAGTATGCATCATACTGTCTCGGCCTTCGCTCAACCCAACGACCTCATTGCAGGTGAAGTGTCAGCATCTTCCGATCCCAGAAGGTGGGAGCCGCCAAACCGAAAGCCTGACAGCCTTGAAGACAGTACCCGGTGATACATTACACGCACACAGCGGCATAGATGATCCTCCAGAGTAACGTTTGGGCTCACAGTTTCTGCCTTGTGAGCGCGGTGCTGCGAGAAGCACTGAAAATGGACCAAGTCGGGAGATTCTCAGTGATGGCCCAGAGTCGCTAGTTGTGATTCCCCCACTGCCCGCTTGGAAGAGTACGTACCACGCGTTGGACGGAAGATCTAGCGTCAAAATCTCGCGTTCTGCTCCTTTGAGAAATGTGCTGGCCGGACCCCCACGTGGCTGTCGTCAGCACACGGCACCGGAAGCGTCGCAGAAAAGTTGCGAATCTCAGCAATCCCGTCAGGAGACTGGATCCTTACGTTCCCGCTCTTGTTGGTGGTTCGACTGCGCCGGCGTGAGGCGTAGTGGGTGGTTGTTGATGGGTCGAAAGGAGGAGAGAACAGATTCGGCGGTGTTTGTTGGCGATCGTGGTGGGTGGGCCCGTCACGCTGCCGTACGATTAGCCGAAAGGTGCTTGCAACTTCGTTGCTCCCGACCGTATGAGTTAGTGTGCCAGCCAAAAAGGGTGCTTGGTAGGACAAGAGGGCAATACGAGGCGGGCTGTCTGCGAGCAGCGTGGCTGTAAGCACAGCTGTACGCGTGCTGAAACAATCGCGTCAATCCCAAGGGAGTTTCGGGCGTGAAGGTTTGGGCCTGGAAGGAAGTTGAAGAGAGCTGACTTAGCACTCGTCTCGCTGCATCAGTTTGTACGAAAGTACGGAAAAGTAGGATGCTTGCGGTGGAAATTGACGAACAAGCCAACGCTTTGTACTTCTGAACCGTCTGTCAGCTACCTCATCGCGAGTCAGTCTACTAGCTAAATACAGCTGCTATAACGTTTGTTGCTTTCCCGTCATCAGCGGCTGTTCAATGATGCCGCGGATTTCACTTTGCGGAATTGTTCCCTCAGCGGCGGCTGGTTGATGGACAGACATAAAATTCGACCCCGAGTCGGCCTAATGATGCGGAAATTGCTTCTGACCGACTTTAGAGTCAGGATTCCTCCTAATGCGACGCGATTGGCATGGGATTCAGTTCTCACCGCATCGAAAGAGGGTGGCCACTGTATTTTCAGAGATTGCTGTCAGGCATGCTACGTATCAAACAAGCTGCTGATTGATGTTGTGGGTGAGAACACGACACGCCATGCAGCAATGGAGTGGAAGTTGTTGGTCGTCAGTTTCGGGAAGTGTGTTCTGTACCTTTTCTGTTTGAGACACGAGTGAAGGAACGTAGGGAATGGTGGAAGCGAAAGTGGACAAAAAATGGGAGAGCAAAGAGAAGGATGGAATGCGGTTTAGAAGAGCTGAGACGCTTCTGGAGGGCGAGCAGAACTCTCACTCACGCACGAGTTAGAAGAACCAAGAAGAACCAAGGTGGACAAAAAGGCTTCCAGAAAGCTGTTTATTCTGGAAGCAGTTTGTTTCCTAAGCATTTTGTGCGTCTTTCCATTTTGGGAATTATTGGTTCCATACTGCCCCCTTTACGGAGGAATGCCACGAAAGCTGGGCTTCCACCCCGCGTCCCACAAACGCAACACGAGTGCGGGACATAAGTGCTACTTACAGCTGGATTTTCAGTTTCCCAACTCTACATTCTAGTGTGTTCAGAGTAAGTGAAATCGTGAAGGTTGATGTGCTGTCGGTCAGCAAATATACTTTCAAGGGTTGCCAGCACTACCATCCCACCAGCCGCACCACATAGCGACTCGCTGTAACAGTCTGCCCTCAAACCGTGGAGGTAACGAGATTATACTGTAGAAGTCGTGGCGTTCTTGGAGACACATCCGTGGCATTCTATTATTTGTCCACGGATGAACCGAACAGTTGACCGGACTGTAATTTGGCAGTGCCCCTCGAGGAGACAAGCAAGAATGCCACGAAGGTCAACAATAAAGAGATCATACGTGTAAAATTTCGAACCAAGGCTACACATCAGAAAAAAAAAGTGAAAATAAAGCATTCAATCAACAACTGAATCTGCTCTCAATATTAATAAAATCCCCTTTCAACCTCCCTCCTCTTGCTCCTCTTCCTCCTCTTCCAGCGCATCCCTAAACAGCAGCTGGAAAACCGGCACCAACTCCGGCAGCCTCGGCAAGTCACAAAAATTCACTGACATCAAATCAAACGCAATTGCCGCACTCCCACCTTCGCCGCCCTCCGCATCCCCGCCGCCCGCACCACCATCTCCTCTCTTCTTACTTTTCACCGGGGGCGCGAGGCGGGGGATTTTAGGGTAGCGTTGGCTGAAATGGGTGAGAATGGTGCGATAAGCGGGGGCAGACGCACCCACCTCCACTGCCTCGCTCGTCGTGCTGTGCTTTCGGGCTATTGCCTCGTGCTGCAAATCATCCTCAAATGTCGCCTGGGAGTGTATGTGGGATGGGGATGTGGATGGGAAGAAAAGAAGGTGATGGAAGGTAATGATGCAGGCGAGGGGTGCACCCACCCCTACCGCCTGACAGGTCGTGCTGTGCCTTCGCGCTATGGCCTCGTGCTGCAAATCATCCTCAAATGTCGCCTGCGAGTGTGTGAGGGAGAGGGATGGGAGGAGGGATAGGAAGGGGAGAAGTCGATGGGCAGTGCTGGGCAGCCCAGCGCAGATGTGAGCCCACACCTCCCCCAGATAACACCTCCCCTAAGCTTACCTCGTGTATCAGCACTGTTACCCCTCGACTCGCCGCCCTCACAGTATTGCACGGGCGAGTGTCACCCGAATACACCAGCTTCCAGGGATCTTCCTCTGCACTCCCCTTCTCACTCCCCTTCTCTCGCCCTCTCACCCGCCCCTTCTCTCGCCCTCTCACCCGCCCCTTCTCTCGCCCCCTCACCCTTCCCTCCAGCACCACAGGCACACTCTCCAGCCGGGTCAGCCCCATCGTAGGTAACACCTCCCCCTGGTATAAGTTAGCAACTCACCTCATGAATCAGCACTGTAGCTCCTCGGCTCGCCACCCTGACAGTATCACACGGGCGAGTGTCACCCGAGTACACCAGCTTCCAGGAATCTTCCTCCCCACTCCCCCCCTCTCGCCCTCTCACCCAACCCTCCAGCACCACAGCAAACGCCTGGGGGCAATGCACCACAGGCACACTCTCCAGCCGGGCCAGCCCCAGCGCAGATAACACCTCCCCCAGCTGCTGCCTGCCCGGCTCGTCCAAACCCCCGTCCTCCAGGTGGAACCCTGTTTTGAGCCAGAAGGGGCGCAGGCCCTTCCTCTCCCTCTCTCTGCTCTCCCGGTTGTCTCGGTTCTCTTGGTTGTCTAGGTTTTTAACGGCTGATTCAGTTCTCTGTTGGTAAACCCCTGACTGCTGCTGCTGCTGCTGCTGCTGTTTAGACTGGCTTTCTTTTTGCCAGATAAGACCACACTGCTCCCTCCCATCGCCTTCCTCCATCCCTCCATCCAGGCCCCTTGCAGAAGCAGCACTACGTGCTGCTACTCCTGCTGCTCCTGCTGTTCCTGCTTTAGCAGCAAGAGCGGCGGCATCCTTCGTCGTCTGGCTACAGTCCAAAAACGTCAGGTGGAGGCTTTCGAACGTCTGATACGCCTCCAGATACCGCCGAAGCTGCTTCGGCCCTACCACCAAAATGGGCGGCACTTGCACTGTAGTATCCTTGTCCAGTTCCTCACTCTCCATCTTCTCAACCGCTTCCTGAAAATCTGTTCCAGGACGTGCCCGTTCAGCTGCCCGCTGAGCTGCCCGCTGAGCTGCCCGCTGAGCTGCCCGGCGCAAAAGAATGTCTCTTCGGGCAGCAAGAATTCTGACAAGCCCCGTGTGATGATCAGCGTGGATGTGAGAGATCCAAATACACTTCAGACCAGCTATAATCTCTTCTGCCTTTTCTGGCCCAAACCTGTAAGAGAAGAATCAAGGAGGCAGCGGGGGGACGGGAGAATGTTAAGCCACCCACCCACCCACCCACCCATCCATCCGACACACTGACTGACCTTCTAGTCAGCTGGGCGTAGCTTCCCTCGCCGCAATCCAATATCATGCCTCCGCGGTCGAATCTGTGCACGTAAATGCCTTGCCTAGACCACATGCACAGGAGCTCCATCCACCTCGCCCATACACACACTCACTCACCGTCTGGTCAGCTGCGCGTAGCTGCCCTCCCCGCAGTCCAGAATCATCCCTCCGCGGTCGAACCGGTGAACGTAGATGCCTTGCCTTTCCTCACCCACTGCCATGAGCACACGTACGCCCCCCATCCACAACCGCCCACACTCACTCACCGTCTGGTCAGCTGCGCGTAGCTGCCCTCCCCGCAGTCCAATATCATCCCTCCACGGTCGAACCGGTGAACGTAGATGCCGCTGAGATTGCGGTATTTGGACGGCTGGGATGAGCCCGTGCCGAGAAACACCACCTCCACCTCCTCCCTGCCCATTCCCCGTATGCACGCTGGTGCACCCCCCCACGCAGCAGCACCTGAAGCACCTGAAGCACCTGAAGCAGCACCTGAAGCAGCACCTGAAGCAGCAGGAGCAGCAACAGCACCACTCCTCCCTCCCTCACCACTTCCTCTCCATCCTCCCCCTTCCCCTTCGTCTCCCATCCTCTCTCCCTCCACCTCTCCCATCCTCTCTCCCTCCACCTCTCCCATTTTCTCCCCCTCCTTCGCCTTGCTCCCCAATCCCCAATCCACAGCCACCTTCCTGGAAGCTTCCTCAAGCTCCGGAATGCTGTGCAGCAAGTGGTGAACAGTGCTCCTGGCGTTGAAAGCGGGCGGCACTGCTGACGTGTCAACTCCCAAAACAGGGGCGCCTCGCAGGTTGACCTGTGGGTGAGGCGTGGGAATTGGGGGATGGAGGAAAAGGGTTGGAACAGGTGTCGGGGTGTTTTCTGAGAAACCAAATTCTCTAATGAGATTTCTCAAAAGCAACTCCCCAATTAATATTGTCAGAATTTGATCATGGAAGAACATCGCAGGAGAAACTCAAGAGCTAATTTTTTCCGGCAGGAGAAACCAAGAGGAAGTTTCATGGAAGGCAAACGGACCTTGAGAAGGTTCTTGGCAATGACAATGGGGCCGAGCGGGAGACCAGTTACAGGCTGTAGAGGTTGCAGGGGTGACGGCGGTGGGGCGAAAGAAGGTGAACAAAAGAGAGGTGAATTCAATCGAGCAAAAGAGCAATGACAATGGGGCCGGGCGGGAGCCCGTCCACCGGCTGTGGAGGAGGTGAGAGCGTGGAGAGAGGAAAGAGGGTGTAAAAAGGAGAAGTGACTCAGGGGCTTGAGAGAGGTGTGAGGAGCGCAATGACAATGGGGCCGAGCGGGAGCCCGTCCACTGGCTGTGGAGGAGGTGAGAGGGAGGAGACAGGGTGGGGACACGGTGGGAGGAGAGAGGAGGTTACAATGAGGGTGAAACAAGACAAAAGAATGTGATTCTGGCTTAGAAAGGGGAAGTGAGAGGAGGGTGTGGTTAGAGGAGGGAAATGACGGTCGGGCTGAGTGGGAGCCCATCCACCGGCTGTGGTGTGGAGATTGCAGGGTTGAGGGCGGTGAGGCAAAAGAGGGTGAAAGAAAGAGGGTGAAAGAAAGAGGGTGAAAGAAAGAGGGTGAAAGAAAGAGGGTGAAAGAAAGAGGGTGAAAGACAGAGGGTGAATTCAAACGAGCAAAAGGGCAACGACAATGGGGCCGAGCGGGAGCCCATCCACCGGCTGTAAAGGGGAGAGGGTGAAGACAGGGTGGGGAATAGGAGGGAAAAGGGCGAACAAGGGGAGGTGAATTAGGCTTTGAACGGGGAGGTGAGAGGAGCGCAATGACAATGGGGCCGAGTGGGAGCCCTTCCACAGGCTGTTGAGGTCACCGGGTGGGGAGAGGGCGAAAAGGCGAGGTGGATTTAGTGGCAAGAGGTGAGTGAGCGGGGGAGAGGAGGCGAGGTGAATGAGAGGAGGCGAGGTGAATGAGAGGAGGCGAGGTGAATGAGAGGAGGCGAGGTGAATGAGAGGAGGCGAGGTGAATGAGAGGAGGCGAGGTGAATGAGAGGAGGCGAGGTGAATGAGAGGAGGCGAGGTGAATGAGAGGAGGCGAGGTGAATGAGAGGAGGCGAGGTGCATGAGAGGAGGCGAGGTGAATGAGAGGAGGCGAGGTGAATGAGAGGAGGCGAGGTGCATGAGAGGAGGCGAGGTGCATGAGAGGAGGCGAGGTGAATGAGAGGAGGCGAGGTGAATGAGAGGAGGCGAGGTGAATGAGAGGAGGCGAGGTGAATGAGAGGAGGCGAGGTGAATGAGAGGAGGCGAGGTGAATGAGAGGAGGCGAGGTGAATGAGAGGAGGCGAGGTGCATGAGAGGAGGCGAGGTGAATGAGAGGAGGCGAGGTGAATGAGAGGAGGCGAGGTGCATGAGAGGAGGCGAGGTGCATGAGAGGAGGCGAGGTGCATGAGAGGAGGCGAGGTGAATGAGAGGAGGCGAGGTGAATGAGAGGAGGCGAGGTGAATGAGAGGAGGCGAGGAGAATGAGAGGAGGCGAGGAGAATGAGAGGAGGCGAGAAGAATGAGAGGAGGCGAGGAGAATGAGAGGAGGCGAGGTGAATGAGAGGAGGCGAGGTGAATGAGAGGAGGCGAGGTGAATGAGAGGAGGCGAGGTGAATGAGAGGAGGCGAGGTGAATGAGAGGAGGCGAGGTGAATGAGAGGAGGCGAGGTGAATGAGAGGAGGCGAGGAGAATCCGGTTGAGCGGGGGCCCATCACGGGTTCTACTTTTGAGGCGTTTCAACCGAACCAAACAGGGGCCCAGCGGCACAGGTTGTTAAGGTCACAGGGGCATAACAATCGGGTCGAGCCAAAGCCAGTGTGTGCTCATATGGTTGAGGAAAAAGGTGCGACCAATACCAGGCGTCTCAAAGCCCGCTCACCTCGGAAGCGCGTCTCAAAGCCCACTCACCTCCAGCTCATACGTCTGTGCTGCTGCTGTTGATGTTCCTGCTGCTTCCGCTGCCCGTCTTGTCAGTGTGTGGTCGTATGGTTCAGGGAAGAGGTGCGGACACACGTAGTGGAGCTTGGTTGTCAGGGCTGCACTCCCCGCTAGCACAGGCGGGCACTCGAAGGCCCTGTAGGAGAGGGAGTAATAGGGAAAAGCACGTGGGTCAACAAAGCCAGAGTGTGGTCGTTTGGTTCAGGGAAGAGGTGCGGACACACGTAGTGGAGCTTGGTTGTCAGGGCTGCACTCCCCGCTAGCACAGGCGGGCACTCAAATGCTCTGAAAGGGCGCAAGGGGGTGTTGTGGTACGAAAGAGGTGAGGTGCGGACACACGTGGTGCAGTTTTTTTGCCAAGGCTGCACTCCCAGCTAGCACGGGCGGGCAGTCGAAGGCGTCTTACACTGCACTGCATGCATGCACATGTGGAGCATGAACAACAGCCAAACGTGAAAAGAAGGGCCTTTGAGTGCATCTCAGCCAGACTTTGAGATGTCTTACACTACCCTCCATGCACATGTGGAGCATGAACAACAGCCAAACGCGTACACCATACCTGCATGCAGAGACCCAATCAATCACCCTAACTGTCAGCACACCATACCTCCACGCGCGTGCGTGCGTGTTGGGTCCCAGCATGCCCATCCCTCGCCGATACTGCTCCTCCTCTCCCTACCAGTAACATGTGCCCCACGTTACCTGGTTACCAGCAGGTGTACTCATATTCCTACCTGCCGTGCCCTGCCAGCACATGAGAGGTGTTGGGTCCCAGCATGCCCATCCATCTCTGTCAGCAGGAGCAGATGTTACCTTTCAACACGTCTGTGCTGTCCTCATATGCGCACCTGCCGTGCCCTGCCAGCACATGAGTGGTGTTGGGTCCCAGCATGCCCATCCATCTCTGTCAGCAGGAGCAGATGTTACCTTTCAACACGTCTGTGCTGTCCTCATATGCGCACCTGCCGTGCCCTGCCAGCACGTGTGTGGTGCTGGGTCCCAGCAGCATCCCCAATCCACCGCCGATACTGCTCCTCCTCCACCACCCCCTCTGGGCTCACGTGGACAGCCACTGTCCATACCTCCCCTTACCTGGCAATGCCCCATGCCCCATGAGCACTGAGCTGCGTACCCTAACATGCCAACACTGAGCTGCGTACCCTAACATGCCAACACTGAGCTGCGTACCCTAACATGCCAACACTGAGCTGCGTACCCTAACATGCCAACACTGAGCTGCGTACCCTAACATGCCAACACTGAGCTGCGTACCCTAACATGCCAACACTGAGCTGCGTACCCTAACATGCCAACACTGAGCTGCGTACCCTAACATGCCAACACTGAGCTGCGTACCCTAACATGCCAACACTGAGCTGCGTACCCTAACATGCCAACACTGAGCTGCGTACCCTAACATGCCAACACTGAGCTGCGTACCTCCCATGACCAGCTAGCATGTGTGTGGTGTTGCCTCCCAGCATGCCCATCCATCGCCGGTACTGCTCCTCCTCCACCACAGCTTCTGGGCTCACGTGGACAGCCACTGTCACCTCCTTATAGTCATTCCCGTTATTGTCACCCTTGATGATATTGTCACCCCCGTTATTGTCACTCTTGGGTTTCTGGCGGTTGCTGATGAAGAATCGCTGCAGCTGCGGCGACTGCAGGAGGGCTTGCGTGTGGCTTGCAGTGGGGCAGTCTATAAGGAGGACAACGGGGCCTGGGACGGATGCTTCGAGGACGTCAGATGGGTAAACCTGAGAGGAGGGGAGAGTGGGTAGGCGGAAACCAGGAGAAAAAATATTGGAGCAGGACAGAGAGGGCAACAATCAGTCTATAAGGAGGACAACGGGGCCTGGGATGGATGCTTCGAGGACGTCAGATGGGTAAACCTGAGAGGAGGGCGGAGAGGAAGGGGAGAAAGGAGAGAGGACAGAGAAAATACTTAGCAAGTCTACAGGGAGGACAATGGGATCTGGGATCGATGTTTCCAGGGCGTCAGATGGATGAATGTGAGGGGAAGGGGGGAGAGAAAGGGGAGAGAGGAGAGAGAGCAGAGAAAATACTCAGCAGGTCTACAGGGAGGACAACAGGGCCTGGAATTGATGCTTCGAGGACGTCAGATGGGTAAACCTGAGGGGAGGGGGGATAGGAAGGGCAAGGAAGGCAGAGTCGAGCAGAGGGAGGATGGAGGGATGGAGGGCACAATGGCACAACAGCACAACAGCACAACAGCACAACAGCACAACAGCACAACAGCACAACAGCACAACAGCACAACAGCACAACAGCACAACAGCACAACAGCACAACAGCTCAACAGCACAACAGCACAACAGCACAACAGCACAACAGCACAACAGCACAACAGCACAACAGCACAACAGCACAACAGCACAACAGCACAACAGCACAACAGCACAACAGCACAACAGCACAACAGCACAACAGCACAACAGCACAACAGCACAACAGCACAACAGCACAACAGCACAACAGCACAACAGCACAACAGCACAACAGCACAACAGCACAACAGCACAACAGCACAACAGCACAACAGCACAACAGCACAACAGCACAACAGCACAACAGCACAACAGCACAACAGCACAACAGCACAACAGCACAACAGCACAACAGCACAACAGCACAACAGCACAACAGCACAACAGCACAACAGCACAACAGCACAACAGCACAACAGCACAACAGCACAACAGCACAACAGCACAACAGCACAACAGCACAACAGCACAACAGCACAACAGCACAACAGCACAACAGCACAACAGCACAACAGCACAACAGCACAACAGCACAACAGCACAACAGCACAACAGCACAACAGCACAACAGCACAACAGCACAACAGCACAACAGCACAACAGCACAACAGCACAACAGCACAACAGCACAACAGCACAACAGCACAACAGCACAACAGCACAACAGCACAACAGCACAACAGCACAACAGCACAACAGCACAACAGCACAACAGCACAACAGCACAACAGCACAACAGCACAACAGCACAACAGCACAACAGCACAACAGCACAACAGCACAACAGCACAACAGCACAACAGCACAACAGCACAACAGCACAACAGCACAACAGCACAACAGCACAACAGCACAACAGCACAACAGCACAACAGCACAACAGCACAACAGCACAACAGCACAACAGCACAACAGCACAACAGCACAACAGCACAACAGCACAACAGCACAACAGCACAACAGCACAACAGCACAACAGCACAACAGCACAACAGCACAACAGCACAACAGCACAACAGCACAACAGCACAACAGCACAACAGCACAACAGCACAACAGCACAACAGCACAACAGCACAACAGCACAACAGCACAACAGCACAACAGCACAACAGCACAACAGCACAACAGCACAACAGCACAACAGCACAACAGCACAACAGCACAACAGCACAACAGCACAACAGCACAACAGCACAACAGCACAACAGCACAACAGCACAACAGCACAACAGCACAACAGCACAACAGCACAACAGCACAACAGCACAACAGCACAACAGCACAACAGCACAACAGCACAACAGCACAACAGCACAACAGCACAACAGCACAACAGCACAACAGCACAACAGCACAACAGCCAACAGCACAACAGCACAACAGCACAACAGCCAACAGCACAACAGCACAACAGCACAACAGCTCAACAGCACAACAGCACAACAGCACAACAGCACAACAGCACAACAGCACAACAGCACAACAGCACAACAGCACAACAGCACAACAGCACAACAGCACAACAGCACAACAGCACAACAGCACAACAGCACAACAGCACAACAGCACAACAGCACAACAGCACAACAGCACAACAGCACAACAGCACAACAGCACAACAGCACAACAGCACAACAGCACAACAGCACAACAGCACAACAGCACAACAGCACAACAGCACAACAGCACAACAGCACAACAGCACAACAGCACAACAGCACAACAGCACAACAGCACAACAGCACAACAGCACAACAGCACAACAGCACAACAGCACAACAGCACAACAGCACAACAGCACAACAGCACAAACAGCACAACAGCACAACAGCACAACAGCACAACAGCACAACAGCACAACAGCACAACAGCACAACAGCACAACAGCACAACAGCACAACAGCACAACAGCACAACAGCACAACAGCACAACAGCACAACAGCACAACAGCACAACAGCACAACAGCACAACAGCACAACAGCACAACAGCTCAACAGCACAACAGCACAACAGCACAACAGCACAACAGCACAACAGCACAACAGCACAACAGCACAACAGCACAACAGCACAACAGCACAACAGCACAACAGCACAACAGCACAACAGCACAACAGCACAACAGCACAACAGCACAACAGCACAACAGCACAACAGCACAACAGCACAACAGCACAACAGCACAACAGCACAACAGCACAACAGCACAACAGCACAACAGCACAACAGCACAACAGCACAACAGCACAACAGCACAACAGCACAACAGCACAACAGCACAACAGCACAACAGCACAACAGCACAACAGCACAACAGCACAACAGCACAACAGCACAACAGCACAACAGCACAACAGCACAACAGCACAACAGCACAACAGCACAACAGCACAACAGCACAACAGCACAACAGCACAACAGCACAACAGCACAACAGCACAACAGCACAACAGCACAACAGCACAACAGCACAACAGCACAACAGCACAACAGCACAACAGCACAACAGCACAACAGCACAACAGCACAACAGCACAACAGCACAACAGCACACAGCACAACAGCACAACAGCACAACAGCACAACAGCACAACAGCACAACAGCACAACAGCACAACAGCACAACAGCACAACAGCACAACAGCACAACAGCACAACAGCACAACAGCACAACAGCACAACAGCACAACAGCACAACAGCACAACAGCACAACAGCACAACAGCACAACAGCACAGCTCAACAGCACAACAGCACAACAGCACAACAGCACAACAGCACAACAGCACAACAGCACAACAGCACAACAGCACAACAGCACAACAGCACAACAGCACAACAGCACAACAGCACAACAGCACAACAGCACAACAGCACAACAGCACAACAGCACAACAGCACAACAGCACAACAGCACAACAGCACAACAGCACAACAGCACAACAGCACAACAGCACAACAGCACAACAGCACAACAGCACAACAGCACAACAGCACAACAGCACAACAGCACAACAGCACAACAGCACAACAGCACAACAGCACAACAGCACAACAGCACAACAGCACAACAGCACAACAGCACAACAGCACAACAGCACAACAGCACAACAGCACAACAGCAAACAGCACAACAGCAACAGCACAACAGCACAACAGCACAACAGCACAACAGCACAACAGCACAACAGCACAACAGCACAACAGCACAACAGCACAACAGCAAACAGCCAACAGCACAACAGCCAACAGCAACAGCACAACAGCACAACACAGCACAAACCGCACAACAGCACAACAGCACAACAAGCACAACAGCACAACAGCACAACAGCACAACAGCACAACAGCACAACAGCACAACAGCACAACAGCACAACAGCACAACAGCACAACAGCACAACAGCACAACAGCACAACAGCACAACAGCACAACAGCACAACAGCCACAACAGCCACAACAGCACAACAGCACAACAGCTACAACAGCACAACAGCACAACAGCACAACAGCACCACAACAGCACAACAGCACAACAGCACAACAGCACAACAGCACAACAGCACAACAGCACAACAGCACAACAGCACAACAGCACAACAGCACAACAGCACAACAGCACAACAGCACAACAGCACAACAGCACAACAGCACAACAGCTCAACAGCACAACAGCACAAACAGCACAACAGCACAACAGCACAACAGCACAACAGCACAACAGCACAACAGCACAACAGCACAACAGCACAACAGCACAACAGCACAACAGCACAACAGCACAACAGCACAACAGCACAACAGCACAACAGCACAACAGCACAACAGCACAACAGCACAACAGCACAACAGCACAACAGCACAACAGCACAACAGCACAACAGCACAACAGCACAACAGCACAACAGCTCAACAGCACAACAGCACAACAGCACAACAGCACTACAGCACAACAGCACAACAGCACAACAGCACAACAGCACAACAGCACAACAGCACAACAGCACTCCTGACTCTCACCATGGTGCTCCCATCATCGCTAGCAACGCTCTCCCCCATCTGCAATCGCCGGTACTTGGGACCGGGGCGGATGCTCATTGCTGCTACTAGTCACACACACAACCAATAGCCTTCACAGACACGCATGCCGCACTCCTGACTCTCACCATGGTGCTCCCATCATCGCTAGCAACGCTCTCCCCCATCTGCAGGCGCCGGTACTTGGGGCCGGGGCGGATGCCCATGGCTGCAGCTCGCTCGGGGTCAAACCTCCCTGCTGCTGTCGGCAACTCGCACACATACACCACCGCCGCCATGCCCGCTGCTGCTGCTGCTGCCATCCCTGCTGCTGCTGGCGCTGCCACTGATGCCGCAACACCTGCTGCTGTTGGCACCACCCCTGCTGCTGCTCCTGCTGCAAATCCTGTTGTTGCTCCTGCAGCTGAACCCCCCGCCTCTTCCTCCTTCCTCTCTCCCTGCACCCTCGCCCTCTTCTCGCTTCCGGCGCTGACTGTGCCCCACCCGCTGCTGACGTCAGCAGGGCCGGAAGGACTGGGGCGCTTCGCTGACGTGGCAGAGGGGAGGGCCGCTTCGGAACTGACACCTGTGAATCCCTCTCCTGCCAGTCCGCCATCTTTCAGTTGCGAGAGAGTCAATTCCTTAAAGGACGCGGATGGCGACGGGAGCACCGTGCTGCTAATCGTGGCAGTGGTGTTGTGGGAAGCAGCAGCTGCTGCTGCTGATGATGATGATGCTGCTATTTCTGGAAATGCTGGTTCAAGCAGCACAGCAGTGATCTTCACGTCCCCATCGTCATGCACTATGTACGCGCTCTTGTCCTCCTGCTCCTTCCCACTCTCTCCCTCTTTCCCGCTCTCCCTTTCCAGTTGCTCTTCTCTCATCACCTCTCCTTCCCTTCCCTGCTGCTGCTGCTGTGCTTTGATGTACGCAGGAGGGAGTGGGGCGTGCGGGTACGACTGACGCCCAGGGCTGCTGCTGCCGAAGCTGGAGGTTCGGACCGAAGCTGCGCCCACGAAGCAGCGCATGGCTGCTGCCAGCCGATGGAGATCCGACGGCCCACATATGTCCACCTGGCGGGGAAAACGTAGCGCGTGAGAGGTTTTTTTTTTTTTTTTTTTTTTTTTTTTTTTTTTTTTTTTTTTTGTAACGCGACAATATAACAACTGCAAATCAGGGATGCATGGCACACCCGTCCACATGCGGAATAACGCATACATGATTTGCCTCAGGAAGCTGAAGCACTAAAAGGGCCATGGCAGCAGCAAGCACACACAGTGTTCGCCCACCACCCTCACTCACTGTGATGCCCAACTTGCCTGTCAGGCTTCCGTCACAGAGGAAAAAAGAGAAAACGAAAGAGGGAAACACACACGTCTATCCTGCACCCTTCCTTACACCCTTGTCCCAGAACTCACCGTGACACCTGTCTCCCCCGTGTTGGCGAGTGTCAGCAGCATGCCTGGCAGCCCCCCTGCCGTCTCGGTGCACACGCGGGAGAGGAATATCTTGTCCACCTGATGCAAATGGGAGGGGGAGGGGTGAGGCAGGGAGACGGGGGGAAAGGGAGGAAAGGGATTTTTTAGCAGCATGCCTGGCAGGCAGCCCGCCAGCTGTTTCCGTGCACACTCGGGAGGGAGAGAAAGATCTTGTCCACCTGATGGGGGGGGAAGGAGGGGAGGCAGGGAAGCGGGCGGAAAAAGGAGACGGAAGATTCGTCAGCAGCATGCCTGGCAGGCAGCCCGCCAGCTGTTTCCGTGCACACTCGGGAGGGAGAGAAAGATCTTGTCCACCTGATGGGGGGGGAAGGAGGGGAGGCAGGGAAGCGGGCGGAAAAAGGAGACGGAAGATTCGTCAGCAGCATGCCTGGCAGCCCGCCAGCTGTTTCCGTGCACACTCGGGAGAGAAAGATCTTGTCCACCTGATGGGATTCAATAAGTGGGAGTAGGGGAAGGGTGGAGGGGAGAGGGGAGAGTCATGAGCAACATGCCTGGCAGCCCTCCAACCGTCTCGGTGCACACGCGGGAGGCGAACGATTCTCAGTGCAAACCCCTGCCCACGGTGCTCTATGCAGAGGCGCTGCAGCTCCTCGCCCGCGTTGAACACCAGGCGCAGGCGCCAATCCTTACACCCGTCCCACCCTCCAAAACCCGAAAACCCTTGCCCACCTTTGACAGCCTGATGCGGTGTTCGATGCAAAGGCGCTGCAGTCCCTCGCCCGCGTTGAACACCAGGCGCAGCCGCTCGAAGAACAGCAGCACGCAGGGGGAAGTATCCCCCGTGTCCATACCCGTCCCCAGCACCTGCAGATACGCTGTCCTGTTCTGCGCCAGCTTCTCTCCCCCAGCCCCCCCTACCGCTCCGCCTTCCCCTCCGCCTCCTCTTCCGCCTTTTCCCCCGCCCTTCTCTCCCCCGCCTCCGCCTCCGCCCCTTCCCTTCCCCTTACCGCCCTTCCCCCTGGCCTGGAAACCTGCATCCGCTGCTCTTTCCGCTCTTCCCCCTGCGGCTGCCAGGCCAGCGCCTTGTCTCCCCCTCGCGCCCCCGCCCGCCGCGGCGCCTCTCATCCCGCCCGCCGAACCTCCTTCCGCGCGCTCCCGTTGCTTTCCGTCCGTACTATAGCTAACCCGATTAAAATACGCAGATCTGAAACCCTGAGACTCTTTCCCTGCTACAGCCGGGGATGGACCTGTTACAGCCGGGGACGGCGCTGCTACAGCCTGTGTGCTCAGCCCGCGAGACAGCAAGAGCTCGTCCGCACTCCACCTACCCTTTCCTACCTTCTTCGGTGCGGCTTCGGTGTCAGATCCTGATTCTGGGCCTGAGCCTGCTACTAATACTAGATTTGCTCCGGCGGACGATTCCACTCCGCCCACAATTCCTTCCGCCCCAACCTTGAAATTCAACGGCAGCTTCTCCGCTTCATCCGTTATCCCTTCCGCCTGCTTCCGCGGACGGCCGCGCGTCCTCTTTCCACTTCCGCCGGCTGCAGCCTTTCCCTCACTCGAATCCTCGCTAATAACAGTTTCGTTACTTGTCACTCGGCGGCCTCGCCTGCCACTGACGCGCGTGGCACTCTCCTGGCCTACGGAAGATTCCGACGCATTCACCGGCTCGCTGCCACGTGGGATCACTAGATTACTCCCACGTGGAACTGTCGCGTCATCCGCAGCTCCGTCAGCTCCGCCGACCGATTTCGACGTACGCGCGCGCCGCTTCCTAACTGTAGTCTCCTTCGCTACTGCGGTTTCTAGAGATGGTTCTACGGAAGCTCCTAGGGGTAGGGGGGATCCTAAAGGTGGTTGCTCATAACTCCCTCCAAAATCTGGGGTTAACTCCGAAATTACCCGACCAGCTCGTGCAGGAGTTGAAGAAGCCCTAGGTGGGTGGCTATGCCGCAGCGACGGAAAAAGTAACGCTCTTCGCGGAACGACTAGCGTCACGAGAGAACGCGATCCGGCGACGAGTCGGCCCGACCGAGCCGGGGCGCGAAAGTCAAGCGGCAACAATCCGGTCGATAACCCGTTCAATGTCGACCTGTCGACTAATCTGTTTGTCGACCTGTTAACTAATCCGTTTGATATAACGTTAGACGATCGGGTGATTACTTTATGCGTTCGCCACATTCGCTGGCGGAGCGCAGAATGCACGCAGAGGTGGGGCTGAACACGAGTTGCGGCGGTTACAGCGGAGAGCGCGAGAGTCATGTCCGTGGCGCGGCCTGATCGTGCCAGCTCAGCAAGTGATTCTGCGCACTCTCACGCATCTCGAACTAGAGAAGTATCATGACCATGGTTGACGGGGGGTTTACGCCTTGAATTAGGGTTGAAGGAGTTCTGTAAAAGTCGAACACCTACCGTGTTTGACAAACTTGACAGACCAATAGAACCAGGCCCTGTTCGACTCGCGCATCAGGGTTTAGGGCGCATTCTCAAGTTCCCCCACCAGCTGAAGTTCCTCCACGCGACTCGAAATGTTGACGTGGCATTGTAAGGTTCCCCCACGCGGTTCGAACTTTCGACACCTTGAAACCAACGACCACGGTCGCAATGCTTGGCCTGTCCGTCAGTGTGCGACGATGGAGATCGTGCCACGTTTGCTGGATGTGGGGACTACAGTGTTAGACATGCCAGTTTCGTGCACATAGCCGGCAACAAATATTTTCTTCCTGCCCAGGCAACCCATTTCTACACTGGTTGCGTGAATCTGCCAATATCACCCAAGTTGACTTGAATTGACTATTGTGCCAAAGTTTTTCGTCAGGCGCAACCGTCAGGCTCGGCCGTTTAGGTTTTGCGTGACGAGGTTAGTTCAACACTTGGTCTGCGAGCTGGCGCATCAATTTCATTGGATGTTAAGACATGCAATGCTGGCGACATCTGTCGCCCGCCAAAATGAGGTTCGGTGGTCAAAGTGGGAGCATTCCCACCAAAATCCCCATCAGCTTCGAAAAAAACGGGCTGGTGGGGGAACTTCGATGGTGGGGGAACTTGAGACCGCGGTCTTAGGCTCGGGTACCAACACAGGCTCGTTGGTGGTGCTTGGGTACCAGGCTTGGCTCAGGTGTGGTGCTCGAACGAGAGGAAGTGGTTTGGGGTTTGTCAAATTGGTTCTAATGGTCTGTCAAGTTTGTCAAACACGGTAGGTGTTCGACTTTTACAGAGCGGGCAATTGTGTGGGTAAAGTTAGTCAAACTCGGGAGGTGTTCAACTTGGCGGGCACCTTATTCTGCCCCACACCAGCTGGTGCTGCCCCGCATCAGCTGGTGCGCGCATGGGCCTTGTTCGGCAGGCGCATGAGCACAGGCTCGGGAATGGGGTACAGTAGAACGACCACCCTAGATGTTTCCGAGATAAGCGGTTGATCGGCTATCATAGTTCGGGATAGGCGCATGAGCACCAAAGCAGTCTGACTGCCGAACGGTCTTTTTGGCCCCCGGTTTGGGGGCCAAAACCTTGTTCCTGGAACCAACCTCCCCTGGCAAACCGACGCATCAGTCATGCGCGCATGGTGCGTCGTGGAGAGGTAGCATCCATGCGCGCATCACTGATGCGGGGCAGCATTGAAGATTCGCCAAACTTTTCACCAAATTAGGGTTGAACACGCAACATCGATTTTGCTCTGGGAATGTTTAGTCCCTACCCAGCAACCCTCGGGGCAGACCGGACAGTCGTGGGACACGTGACACACTCCTTCCGCGAGCCTGCAACAAATTGACAAAGCACGAACCAGACCCAAACCTGACTATCTGGTATGTTGCACCACTCCCGAACCAGAGCTCATTCCCGAGCCTAGATTCTGATGCGCCTGCCGAACAGGGCCATGGTGCTAGCTCTCCACGGATGCACTATGCGCGCATCAGTGGTGCGTCGGTTTGCCTGGAGAGGAGGGTTCCGGGAACGCACATTTAGTTCCCGAACCTGGGGCCAAAAAGGGTGTTCGGCTGCCATCATGCACCAGTTCGCTTCGGTGCTCATGCGCCTATCCCAGACCCGAGTCAGCAGATCCCAGACCCGAGTCAACACTTGTCCGCTTCTCTCAGAAGCTTCGAGGGAGCACACTTTACTGTAGCTGGAACCCGAGCCTGTGCCTGATGCGCCAGTCGAACAGGGCCCCAATTTGACAAACCCCAAACCACTTCCTCTCGTTCGAGCACCACACCCGAACCAACCCTGCTACCCAAGCACCACCAACGAACCTGTGCTGGTACCCGAGCCTAAACCCTGATGCGCCAGTCGAACAGGGCCTTGGAGAGCCTCCTTGGGATGCACGAATCAGCGAAACTATGGTTCAGTTTCGCTATAAATTCAGCTGCTAAAAAACTGAGAGACACAAAAGCTTAATATGTAACGAAAACAACACTCTATAACTCTGCAAAAAAACGAGGGCATCAACGGGAATAACAGAAACCACTAACGCAAGTACCATTGAGACAATTCTTACTAAACATATAACGTCCATGTACGGGCTTTACCGCGTACGAACTCACCCAAGCCACCTGCGCCTATGGTACCCTACTGGAGTAACGACTAGTAGTAGGTCTCCCTATCCCTTTTTGCCATGCGGCGAGCGGTAGTCGCGGAGACGCCGTCGCGGCAGATCCGTGGAGAACTGCGCATCTGCAGGGTACCCTAAGATTTGAGATCGCCGCAGTTTTCCTTTGAATCGTTTCGAAATCTCTCCGCTTCGTGACTCTTAGACTGAGGTCAAGGCTTACTCTGCAGCTGTACAATGTTTTGCAATCTCGCATAGAGTCTGCTCGTGGCGTTGCAAGGTCGCCGTTGCAAGCTCTGTCGCACGCACCGTCGCACGCACCGTCGCACGCACCGTCGCACCAACTGTCGCACTCACTGTCGCCGGTCAATTGGTCGTCGCTTGTCACACCACCCAATCCCTTCCGTCCATGTAATATAATCGTTATGACTCCTCTCGTTTTTTCCACAGGTGTGTTCGCCGTTCGATCTCACACACAAGGCCACATCGATGTTACCGCAACTGCTAATATCGCGAATGCTAGGGGCGCTGAAGTTACTAGCGCGGATGCACGTACCGCCAACGCCCTGCGGGAAGGGTTTGCGCGGTCATTCGTGAGGCACAAGCGGAAAGAAAATGCGGTGGAGATTGGTTACCGCGTGGCGGAGCCCGCATCGGCTCGCCCTAGAGGGGTAGTGGGGGGGGAAATGCCGGGAAGAGCAGCGGGGAGGGGGGGGGGAAGCGGGGAGGGGCGGGGAGGGGTGGGGAGGGGTAGCAGCGCAGGATGAGGGGGGTTGACATCAGCAAAGTGGCGGGGGTTCGCAGTGGTTCAGGTGCGGAAAAGAAGGATTTTGGTCAGACGCTGGGTGTAGATCGGTGAAAGTGCGGTGCAGGGAAGAAGAGCCCTTGCTGTCTAGGTTAGACGCGCTCGCAGTGGTTCAGGTGCGGAAATCGAATGGTTGGGTGTGAGACGGTGATGAGCGGTGTGAGGCGATGAGGGGTGTGCCCTGATGGATGTAAATTGGTGGAGCGCGGTGTAGGGGAGTAGAGCCGTTTCAGTGAATTGGTCACACGGTCTGAAACTGTAACTGTACACTATTTGTAGGGTGCTTTACAAGTTCCTGTACACTCTCCTGTTCTCAGTCCCTCCGTCCCCTCGCATCGATTGCATTTTTTATGGAACGACAGATTCAGAAGAAGAAGCAGAAGCAGAAGCAGCAGCAGAAGCAGCAGCAGCAGCAGCAGCAGCAGCAGTAGCGGCGGCAGCGGCGGCGGCGGCGACGGCGGCGGCGGCAGCAGCACAGCTGCAGCAGAGTCCTGATTCATGAGCTTTAATGATTATACACAAGCACTTGGAGCTCCACAAGAGCCATGCCTCACCTCCCCATCGTCCCTCACATGCTCCTTCCGTTTGCTCGATCCCTCCATCACGGCCTGAGTCAATGCTAGGTAACTTTTCACTCCCTCTCTCCATTTCCTACCTCCTCCTGCACTCTCTTTTCACTGATTTTCCCAACCTCCCTCCCATTCTCCTGCCATCCGTTCAACCCTCCATCACGCCCTTGGTCAATGCTAGGTAACACTTCTCTCCCTC